AATCTTCAAATCAATATATATATAGGATTGTCTCTATATGCTTCTTCCTTATGGAGCTAAAACTTTCACCTATAAGTGTTAAACTTCAAGGGTGGGATATATAAATCCCAATCAATGTGTTATTTTCTTATCAATAAATATGATTAGAGTATGAGATATCATTATAGAAATTATATGCATGTGCTACCTACTAACTATGAGCATGGGCTACACCCTTAATGTTCTCATTCCTTACACCATTATGATCCCTCACATACTCAATCTACAACACAACTCAGTGTTTTTATAGACAACCCAATGTTCACATGGGCTACAACCCATGCCTCATAAGCTACAACTCATGGTTGCATAAGCAAGGGCCTTAACCATATGGCTTGCTTTTCATGCCTTACCACCACTAATCTGTTTCAAATATTGGAGAGTTGCTGTAAATACTACTACCTTCGATATTTAACATAAGAATTGGTTGGGATTGGATTTAGTCTTTAATATAAGATCTCAATCTACATTTTTTCCCATATTTATCATATTTTTCCTAAATAAACCGTACTGGTTGCTCATGTCAAAGGAGTTTGTATTAAGTATTAGTTTCAATACGAATGATTTAAGAGAGTATTTTAGGAAAACCAACGCATAACTTTAACGAATAATTAATTTAATTAACTTTTTTAATTTACTCAAATTAGTTAAGTAGATTTTATATTAAGGATCATATATATTATTTGGGAGCCATCTAGTTTTTTAAAATCAGTCCTGAGTTCTAACTCAATACTAAGTTTGGCTTAAAATCGGTTCTATTTTAGCATAGAAATGATTTTGTGGGTTAATTTGAGCCTTTGATGAGTCTGATTGACGGTCCAACTGAGTCCAATCTTCCATTTTGAGTCGGTTTTCAAAACATTGCCACTAACACAAGTAGGTTGATAAATTTAGCAAAATGACGTCATATTAAATTGCCTTCCTACCCATGCCACAACATGATGACATACCAATTAATACCACGCAGCAACTATTGTTGTACCTTATGGTACAATTTGGCAAAATGTAAATTTACCTTATCCCTGCATAGGTAGTTTCCAAACTAGAGTTTCTAATAAAGGTGACATAATGTGACATTAACTATGCACATTGCTTGAACGTGAATCACGAAGTTGCCTTATACACATGATTAAAAAAAAAAATCATGCTAATTAATTATATAATTGTCAGGTGAATTATTTACCCCTTTGATGTTGTCATTAGTTAGTATTGTCTTTTGCATTGTCGTTGTTATTTGACAATATGTAGCACCTCCTACCATGGCCCACTTTGGCTCTTCCTCTGCTAATAGGCTCATTCAAATTACTTAGAATTAATCTTTGCTTAAGTTAATTAGAGTATCTTTGGCTTGTGGTCAAAAAATTATAAGGGGTTGAAGCCATCATATGAGTTGATTCAGGAAGAAGGGGCGAGAAAGTGAGGGAAGCACATTCTATGCTCATCACAATGATAAACATAGAGTATCATCTTAATTTGCACCATCCAAATCCAAATTGATTTTGGATAATTTGAATTTAATTTAAACATTTTATATATTTTCAATAATTTTTTATTTTGATAGATGCAAAGTTTAAAATTAAAATAAATTAATAACTAACATTTCTTTTAAAAAAATAAGTTTATTTTTTAAAAAATTGCAAATTAAAAATTTTAAATCTGAACAATCCATATTACATTTGGAATGGTTTAGATTGTATCATAATGATGAGCAATCCATATTACATTTGGAATGGTTTAGATTGTTTCATAATGATGAGGTGCTCATCGATATGATGAGCACTAAATGATGATTTGAAAGTGAGTTGAGAGTCAAGATATATTCCATATGAGCTTTGAACGGAAGTATAGATCCCATAGGTGCCTAAGGTTTTTGATATTCAATGTCAATATTTGCCAACATGTGCCTCTATTAGGAACTAAGGATTTTTGCTCATTTTTTAGTTGTTGATGGATAACATTGCACCATAATATAATACTTTGTGGGTATTTTTGTCATTAATCAATTTACACTAGGCAAAACATGTGGGACCCATATTTCTTAATGGACGTTTGACATCCATTACAGATTATGGGATTTTCGCATTGTATTTTATAGTTGATGGACAGAATTACACCAAACGAAATTTTAAGATATTGGCTGTTACCCGTATAATACTTTGTGCGTTTTTTTGAAACCTTAACCTATTTTTCTTTAGTTGTCTCCTCTGGTTGTCTCTTCTCTTACTTTTCTCTCTGTCCAAATATAGAATTAATGCTGAACTAATCACGAGGATCTTTATATTACATAGGAGTTGAAGAGCAAACTAATGTAGTTGTGGTTCTTAATTTGTCTAGCGTCTACAAATTTCATATTTGATGTTGATTGATCATATAGGTGAATGTTTTGTGCATACACGCAATTTCCTTTATTGATTGACCATAAGGTGGGGGCTATGGGTATAGGGCTATCCACAAAACAAGAAAGCTCATTTTCAATGAGCTAAGATTGATCCCCTTGTTAAAGATATGATTTATATAGCATAAAATCATATATATGGGGCTTTGGATTCTAATATTGATAAGAGAATATAAAGAGTATATAATTGTCAAGTATATCTAGGAGCTACTACTCATAGAGTTGTTAAATTTGTTATAACTATAGGAGTCACTAAACAAATTTTTTATGACTTAGTTCACCTTTTTTTTTTTTTTTGAGGGAACCCAAATTGAAAAGAAAAAATCCGAACATCTGAATATATTTTTTTGGGCTACTAAAAACAATTGAATAATTTATCTGTCAAGAAAACCATAGCCATCCATCCAGGTTTGGCCATTTGCATGGGTGAGGCATAGTTTTGTTTTCTCGCCTTTTTTGGCCTATGCTTCTTCATAATATGTGGCTGTGATTTCTCCTTTTCTTATGTGAATGTGATTAAACTTTTTCAATATAATACATTAAGTTTATAAGAAACAAACACTTGTCATATTTGTAGCCTCATTATCCCTTTATGGATATATGGACCATTACTACAATATATTATGCGCATTTTTTGTCTGGAAGGCATTGCAATTAACTATAATTTGCCAAGGTCAAGATAAGTGGACATAATTTATTTTATATTTTATTATAATTTAGCTCTAGTGTATTGTCCTAAACCTACCTAATTTTTGTCCCACCTCTGCTTTCTCAAAATTAAAAATACTATTTTTAGTTACTAAAATTTAATCTTATTTTAGTTTTAGTCTCTAAAAATTAAAACCAATTGTTTTGATTCCTAAAATTATTTGAAATAACTGGTTTTGATTTATGAAATTTAACCTTATTTGATTTTGGTTCTTGTTTTAAGAACTAAAAACCTTAAATTGAATCAAAATGAAGTTAAATTTTAAGGACTAAAACTAAAATAAGGTCAAATTTTAGAGATCAAAACCGTAATAAGGTCAAATCTTAAAAAATGGCATTGCCCAAAAATATATATCATAAAAAAATTAAAATATATACAATGAAAAACTAAAAAAATATTTTACCTTCTCATTACATTAAAATATAAAATATATTATAAATTTTATTATTTTTGAAAAGGTCTTTACATGGACATGTATCTAATCATCAGCTTGATTAGATTGCATTTTACAAAATAGATAAATAATATTTTTTTTTATGACTTTTCTTTGTACAAACTTGAAGTGAGGCAGAAGGGGGTGAGCAGGTGGTCCTATCCTTTATGTTACTTCTTCCTTAATGTCTCCTTTCGCCCCTCCTGGAACAAATTTTGCTTTTTAAAAATAATAAATAAATAAATAAAATTTTCTAAATTTAATTCATAAAAATTATTTTTTACTATGAAATGCTAACATTCAATCAAAATAATAATAATTCTTACATGATTGAATTAAATCATGCATATATATCTATATAATATTCTTAACTACCAAGTAAACCTCAATTATTAGAAAAAAGGAGAAAATAAATCTGTCTTTGTTTGTGATTATGATTAATATTTTTTTAATGGTTTTCTGATTTTTATGTATTAATAGATGTGGCCTCCTAGAATAATTGTAGGGGGTTCAAAATAAATGTCATTATAATATTTTATAGATATATTGATGATAATATATATACTTATATATTTATTTGTAAATATAATTGAACTGCTATAATGATCATATATTTAAAGATGAAAAAAAATTATTTGCTATGAATTAAAAAAATACTACATCTAGTACTAAATATAAAAACTAGTAGACTAATTTGAGTAGATTAAGAAAATTAGTTAAGTTAGTTATTTGTAATAAATATACGATCTCTTTTCTAAAATACTTTCATTAATAATGTGTATTAACTAGAACTGTTTTTTGATAAAACCTTTAACATATGTAACTATTACAAGGATTATCTTAAATAAAAAAACAAATATGAGAGATATCGTAGATTGAAATGTTATATTTAAGACCAAATTACATATCAAACTAGTTTTTATATTAAGAAAGAGAGGTACTATATCTATAAAAAATGCAGGGTTGTTTATTAATCTAGTAGCTCATCTATGATCAGCTTGTACAACATCCAAAATTCCAAGTCATGCTAGAACCGTTGACAATTTCTATTACTATGAAAAATGTGTGGGTCCCGTATAACCCGACCTTTCCCGGGAAGCAATGGGACCCACCACCTGGTGCCTTGGCTGGTGATCATCGTCTGCTGAAATCCTGTCTATACTGTTGTATTGAATGATTAATTAAACTAATTTTCTCAGTCGATGTTAAATAGCTCAGCTCATTGAACTCTTGGATTACTTCACATGCTCTGTAATAACTTCATATTATATCATTCTATTCCAATAAATAACAACAAAACCGACAAGAAGACTTAGAAAACTCGTCACAATTAGCAATGGTGTATTTGCCTAACTTGTTCAATCTGCTTATTCCCTCCTTCCCTCCTCCTCCTCCTCCTCCCTCTGTTCTTCTTCTTCTTCCAGGTTCAACTTCATTCTTCGTCTTCATCACTCCATTATAATGCAGCAGATGAAGCAAAGGTCTGAGCACCAGCAACACCAGGTTATGCTTTGTCTGTTTCCGGTTCTGTTCTTGTTTCTCTCTGCATGTTGTGTTGAGCATTCTGGGTTTGCTAATTTGTCTGAAAGTTGTTGGCTTTTTTCTGGGTTTCGTTGTTGTTCTTGCAGCAATTCTGGGCTAGAGTGGTTATGCGAAAATGGCTTAACATGAAGGAGTCCGATTACAGCGCTGACCCTGATGACCCAGATGATAGTGATTCAGACAACGGAGTGAGTGACGACATTCCCATATAAGGATGATTCATTTCACGACATGACACAACATTAGATGTTGTCTAATCTTGTCGTCTTGGGGTCTATATTAATGTCCATATGGGTATGACTGCTTTTTAGGGGCAAAGGGGTGTTGCATCAGTTTGTCTGTGTGATCCATTGGGGTTTGGAAAAGTTGAGCTTGGGCTTTATGAGCATGATATGACTTTCTTAAAGATCACTTTTAGTTTGGCTGTTTCAGTCTTGCACACTCTTTATTATTGTTATGCAGAAGGGGGAAGACAATCACGATTTAGAGGGATCAAGGAGGAAGAAGAAGAAGAAGAACCACCTGAATCAAATGGTGACTTTTCCATACAATAAATTATGATCTATTGACTGATTTATCTGCTAAGCTTTACCATTTCATATTTACTTTTGCAGTTCAGATTTTCATGTATTCAGTGAAATTTAGTGCAAGTGTATTTCTTTTTGTTAACTGCCTTTGTAAGAGTCTAAATTAAGTTTTATTAAATTACAGAATATCTTCCAAGGCTAAGGAGGCAAAAGTCATTGACTTGTCGGTCTCAGTACATAAACAAAAACGAACTCAGGTGAGACAAAGGAACAGGAAAAAGTTAAAATGTTTTCTGTGAAAAGCATTTGGTCTGTATTGTTCAAGCCCTCTTACCTGAATTTGCTGTATGTTTTATCTTAGAGTATGTGTTGGGACATGGAATGTTGGGGGAAAACTCCCTCCTGATGACCTAGATATTGATGAGTGGATTGGTATCAATGATCCAGCTGATATATATGTTCTTGGGTAAGTTTTTTGCCTCCCCCGCCCCCCCCCCCCCGACTATACCTATTAAAATACATATAACGGAGCACAAGTCTGACATATTTTGTGTGGTAATTAATCTCTAAGTTGGTATTAGTATATTTATCGTCTAATGACAAGACCGTGAATTACACAAAGTTTGAAATATGAGCTGCAATGTTCATGGCTTATGTTTTATATCCATATTTAATATCTGTTTCCTATGTTTATGAAGATTCATTCTGTTAGAATGACTTGGATGATTCTCCACATTGCAGTTTTCAGGAGATTGTGCCCTAAGCCCTGGTAACATTTTAGGTGCTGAAGACACACGACCTGTTCCAAAGTGGGAAACATTGTCCGGGAGACACTGAATAGAGTTCGCTTTACACCATCAAAGGTAAAATCCTTTAGTGATCCTCCTTCTCCATCAAAATTTAATCCACCAGAAGATGTCCCAGATATAGAAGAAGAAATATTGCTTGAAAGTGATGGTGAACTTGAAGAAGAAGTCCATCCATTGGAGGAAGAAGATGATGTTGCTGATGGAGTTACTAATGGAGCTGTCAATGAAAAAATCAGGGATACAAGTTTGCAGGCTACAGATGCTGCTGATATAGTCAACTCAGGCATGCCAGTAGACCTAAATTTTCAGAGACAATTTTCTTCTTCTTCAGGAGATTAAACCGATTAAACTGTTTCCGTGATGAAGACTCATCTGATAATATAGAAACTCCCTTCACCTTGCAGACTGCTAAACTATGCAGAATGCTTAGTGGGACTGAAAGGATTGGTTTGAGCTGGCCAGAGCCACCATTAAATCTTCTGTCACAGAAAGTGTTGGATAGGCCAAGTTCATTTAAATCAATCCCAAGCTTCAAAGCGTCAAAGTCGTTCAAAAGATATAACTCTTTCAAAGGGTACAATTCTTTCAAGTCAACCATAGATGAAATACCGTCAGATATAACCTTGCTTGCAGAAACTGACCTTGAAGCTTTAATGAAGCGGAAAAGGAAATCACCATATGTTAGGATAATAAGCAAGCAGATGGTTGGTATTTTCATCACTATTTGGGTACGTAGAGGCTTGCGTAAACATATTCAGAATTTAAAGGTGTCAACCGTTGGTGTTGGTGTTATGGGCTATATTGGTAACAAGGTCTGTTGTCCATGTTCTTCTTCATCACAGTATCTTGTTTTTATTCCTTACTATATGGTATTTCACTGTCCTTCATTTATAATATGACATTTATTCGCAGGAACTCTAGCAGCAACAGATACTTCTCGTGTTGTTTTTTTTTTTTTTGGGGGGGGGGAGAGCAGGGTGTTTTTGCTCCCCTTGTTACAAACTGTCTTTCAAGAAACTGTTTGTTTTTAGGTGTAAAATGAGAAATTGTTCCCCAAAAAAAAAAAAAATTGAGAAAATTGATTTTGGCTCCCATGAGTTAACTTCTACTTCCGTCTCTGAACTCTGGCATGAGTATCATATTAGGTTCTGCTGGGATCCCCCCTCCCCCGGGAAAATTTTCATTTCTATATCGGACTGACATATACTTGATCTGTTCTTGTGTCTTCATTTTTATATGTTGTGTAGATTCTTTTTACCTACGGGGATTGCTCACTACTCAGTGATCTCATCATATTCCACCTGATCAAATAGTGTGGTTTTTTGCCTCATTTATTGATTATTCATATTTTTATCAAAGTTCTGGGAAGGATGAGCTCTGTTCTCTTGTGCAAATAGGTTCATATCAGTTTTCTAAAGTCATGTAAACTTGTTACCCAATTGCTTGTAATTATTATTTTAGTTTCCTTTTACTTGTGTATTTCTGCGCAAGATAAGTCTTGGGAATATTTGATGTTTGATATGCTGTAGAGCTAATCGTTTGATCAATAATATTCCTTTCTTCACATATTAATACTGATGTTTCATGTTTCAGGGATCAATATCTGTTAGCATGTCCATTTATCAGACATTTTTCTGTTTCATATGCACCCACCTTACAGCTGGTGAAAAGGAAGGAGATCAAATGAAAAGAAATGCAGATGTGCTTGACATACGTCAAAGAACCCAGTTTCATACGTTCACTGATATAGGACTTCCCAAAGTATCTTTCTTTGTCATGTGAGTACATGTTTCATTATTCCTTGATGCAACTATTGTACATATTTTATATGATATTCATTCTCCTCAACATTTGGCTTCATTGTACAATGTCCCCCCCCCCCCCCCCTATTGTGCTATTCTTCGTTTTGCCTTAATATGTTTTTGAATTGTGGTGCCTACAAATCAATTTTACTGTGGGGACATGGCGATTAGCTTGCTATATCAAATGGAGTTTGATTGTTTGATAAATGTATTATTTAACTAACTGAAACTACTGCTTTTGATTTACAAGTAACTTCAAAATTCGCATTTCACTTATATCTGTTAGCTTATTTTTCATCTCAAGTACAAACAGAGTTACAGAAAGTTAAAAATAAATAGCATTTTGGTTTTGCAATCCTTATCACATGCAAATAACATGTTCCATCATTCGTGTACATACTATGTTATTTGTATCTTGATCTATAGAGAATCTTCTGGTTTCTTTTAGTTTATGTCTAATCTTCAAAATGTATGTGGAAGAGAAATAATAATGGGAAATATCGCTGAGAAGAAATGAAGAAAAAGAAGATTAGAAGCTTTTCTATATATGGTATAGTATTATTTTCTCTATGAAGGGATGACACAAGTTATAGCAACATGAGGACAAATTTGTTTTATGAACTTTGTCCGCTGCAATAATGGTTTTTCAGAGGGAATATCTATCTCGCTGGATTGAATCATATGGCTACATTGTATGGTACTTTCCAAGTATATATTCTATAATTATTGGAGGTGTTTGAACAGTTGAAGCTCAAAATCCGGGGAATTATATGGGTTCTTCCTATTTTATTTGTTTGCATGTTTTATAATATACAGTAATTATTACTGAAGCACCATAATTTTATTTGCAGGAGAATAATTTGGTTGGGCGACTTAAACTACCGTATCAACTTGTCATATGATGAGACTAGAAAACTCATTTCAAAAAAGGACTGGACAAAATTGTTTGAGAAAGATCAGGTACTTTTGAGTTACCCAGTTATCTAACATGGCAAACACTTTACAGAAGGGGCTAAAATTGCTAGGACTGTTTCATTCATTGACTTCTGATTTTGACAGCTTGCACGAGAAATCGAGAAAGGTGTATTTGCTGGATGGTCAGAAGGAACATTGACTTTTGCACCAACTTATAAGTATGAGATGAAATCTGATAAGTACTATGGAGAAGATCCCAAGGTTGGAAGGCGTACGCCAGCATGGTATGCTTCACTTGTGGTTCTGCTTCAATGTCTGCTAATCTGGTGGTCGTATTTTTATCTTTTTCTGAATGCAGACTTTCTCATATTTCTGAAGATGTAGCCTTAAGAACATCAGATATTAGTTACTATTTTTTTTCTATTTATCAATTTATAACCTAGATTTCATTAGTAATTTTGGTCTGAATTATCTTATCCAGCATATATGCTTTATATAGATTGTTAAGGAACATTTACTTGTGAAATTTGAAACTGTTAACTAATAAACTGCCTTATTGAATGGTGATTTTTTTATGTCTTAACCTGAGTCACTGATATGAGAACTAGGTGGGTCTGTTTAATGATTTATGAAAAGTAATAACTTCCTATTTCTATCATATATGCATGCACTTTCAGGTGTGATCGCATTCTTTCTTACGGCAAGGGGATAAGATTACTGAGATACAGAAGGAGTGAGCTCAAATTTTCGGATCATCGGCCCGTGACTGCCACATATATGGCTGAGGTTGAGGTGTTCTCTCCTAGGAAGTTACAGAGAGCCCTGACTTTCACAGATGCGGAGATTGAAAATGAAGAAGTCATGAATTTAGGCACTTGGAATTAGCTGCTTACATGGAGTAGGTGAGTTGCTATATAATCAACAACGTTCATATAAATATGAGTTAACTAGAATTTAATCCCTAAATTATCATGTTGATTAAGAAAACCATTTTGCAAGTAACTATGCTTTCTTTCAATTTTTAATTTGGTACCTATACTTTTTTCCCCCTCTTGATTAATCTTTCAACTTTGTTTTGTTAGTACTGTTAGCCTCTGTAACTTTGTTTTGTTTGCATTGTTATTCTTATCTCGAGGCTAACAGTACTAGCAAAGCAAAA